GCAGCGGCACCCGGACCCGGCGCCCTGGATCCCCGGCTGCCCTCGGGGCTGCTGCTGCCGGCCTCTGGCAGCCGTGCCCTTGGGCTGAGTCAGGATGCGGCAAGGGCCCGGGCTGAGCCCTGCCGGGGCGGGAGGCCGTGTGGCCACAGGGCTGGCAGCGCCGCTGGCAGGGAGCTGTGCTGCTGGGGCCCTGACAGGCTCTGTGTTCCCAGGGATGGCCGGGCAGCACCTGAGGGGGCAGAAGAAAGAGCTGCGGGCCCTCATCGAGGGTGAGTGAGGGCAGCGGGCAGTGAGGGGCTGGCACTGGGGGATCTGAAATGCCCGGGCAGGGAGCTGTAATCCGTGCCACGGCTTCAGAGGGCTTCTCTCTCTGTGTGGACACCTTGGTGGTGTGGGAATATCACAGAGAGATTTCAGGGATGCAGGGCGAGAGATTTGGGTGGTGATGTAGTTGGGAGAGATTCGCATCCAGTACCTTGCAGGTGGTCCTGTTGGCCCCTTAACTCCTGTGGCCACAGTAAGAGCAGGCTGGGATGGCCCTGGTAGGACTTTCTCCTAGGATTCCCACAGATCCGGGCTCTGATCGTGGCTTTGTACCCTTCTCTTCCAGCACTTCAAGCCCTGAGGAGAGATGACAACCCTTCTCAGACAAACACAGATCTTCGGGAGATATTCTCTAAAAGAGCTGCAGAGCTACGTTTGTCTGCTGGCTTAGGAGAACCAGTGTTCATTTAAGATGCTGTGGAAGATGAGACTACGCTGAGACCAGAAGAGACCAGCTGGAGCTCCAGGCACAGCTGATGACTTGCACAGCAGAGCCTGTGGGAAGCTCGCATGGCTTCAGCCCTCTCCCCCTGCCTGTAGATAGCTCTGTCCCTGCAGCCCTCAGACACTGCCCATCCCTTCTTTTTCCCTCCACTTTCCCTCCCTTTTGACAGCTCCCTCCTTCCAGCCCTCAGACACTGCCCATCCCTTCTTTTTCCCTCCACTCTCCATCCCTTTTGATAGCTCCCTCCTTCCAGCCCTCAGACACTCCCCATCCCCTTTTTTGCCCCTCTGCTCATCCCTTTGCTTCGCATTTCATCAATAAACAGTTTTCCTTTTTCACTTGACCTGCATCTGTGTGGAGCTGAAGGGTCACAAATCCAGAGCGCTGTGACACACAGGCCCCTCCTGCCGTTCTCTCCTGCGCCGTATTTTGTGCAGAGACGCAGAGGAAGGAGCGCAGATCAGGCTGGAAAGGTCCCTGTGCTGAAGGCCCGGCTCCACAGCATTGTGGAGTTCAAGGTGTTACTGAAGGCCAGTAGTGGGACAAGGAGCCTGTGTGTGTCAGGGACCAAAGTTGTGTCTAAGGCCCTGCCGTGTTCCGTCCTCTGTTGTGCATGTTGAAAGGTTAATGAATAAAGGCAGGTTCAAAAACCCTCCTGGAAAGGCAAAATCCCAATTTTAGCAGCTTTTTCCACTTCTGCATTGCAGGTATTGATGGATCTACTGGAGAGGGAATGTTCATCCCAAATTTCTGCCCGTTTTTCTAGGAACACTCCAATGACAGTACAATGCCACGTGTACTGATTCAGTCTTCCGAGGTTTTTTGGGTTATTCTCTTTTGGGATTTAGGGGTCTGGAAGGTGGGGAGAGAGGCAGGACACAATCCAGATCCAAAAAAATCCCATACAGCACTGGAAATGAGGAAAACATAGTGGAAACAAGCAGAAAGGAACTGGGGGAAAAAAGGATTTTTAAGAAGGAAAAATAGGGAAAAGTAAGGACAAAATTCCAGACAAATCCACTGGTAAAGAATAATTTGGAGGTGGAATAGGAGAAATTCCAGCCCAGCAGGCTACCAGGGCCTGGGAGGGCCCAAATTTTTTATTTTATTTGGGAACTTTTTAGGGCTTTTTAAAAATATTATTGGATTTTTTTCCAGGAAGATCCCCCTTTTCCTTTCTGATGGGACTGGAAGGCAACTCCTGCTCCTGCAGTGCTGTTTTTGCCCATCCTCATTCCTGAATATTCTTAGAAACGTCTGTAAAATGGTGAAAATGATGATGGACTGTGGCCTTTTTTCATTCTCAATACTTGTGATGCTATTGGAGTGAAGAGGGGAAAAAACAATAAAAAATGGGAAAAAATATTTATAAATCAGAATTTTACCATCTACCAGTGCCTGGCTTTTTGTTACAAAGCTTATTAAAAAGAAAAAAAAAGGTGGTTGCAGTGGGTGACTCCCTTCTGAGGGGAACAGAGGGCCCCTCATGCTGACTGGAGCCATCCCACAGGGAGGTCTGCTGCCTCCCTGGGACTCGGCTACGGGGCATCACTGAGAGACTTCCTGGGCTGATCCAGCCCTCTGGTTATTATCCACTGCTGCTACTCCAGGCTGGCAGAGATGAGACTGAAAAGAGGAGTGCCAGGGCAATTCAAAGGGACTTCAGGACACTGGCTGAGTGGTTGATAGGGCAGGAGCACAGGTAGACTTTTCCTCAGTCCCTTTGGTGGCAGAAAAGAAGTGAAAGGAATAGGGGAGCCCACATTATCAACAAGTGGCTCAAGGGTTGGTGTCATTGGCAGAATTCTGGGTTCTCTGCTCACGGGGCAACTTTTCTGGCACCCGGCCTGCTGGAACTGGATGGGCTGCATCTCTCTTAAGGGTAGAAGAATTTTATCTTATGAAGTGGCAGAACTCACTGAGAGGGCTTTAAACTAGGTTTGAAGGGGGAAGGGGATGCAGCTGGGCTGTCTGGAAGCAGCCCCAAGGGTGGTGAGCCTGAGGTAGGGGTGAAATCAGTAGCCCAGCTGAGGTGCATGTACACTGTAATAAATGAAATTCAGCCAAATTTATCAATAACAATTTTATTGAAAAATTTGCAAAATCAAATTATGAAAACAGCTACAATCACAGTCAGCTTTGAGCTCAGGATCGGCGCTGGGTGAACTCTGAACCAGCCTCTGTCACACTGACTCCCCCAAGTTCACCGCCTGTCTTTTGGAGAGATGAGTTTTGATACAGTTTTTACAGCTTGAGGCTGTGCAGTCTCAGTTTTTTCTTTCTTCTGAAGTTTGTTGCATATTCATATTTTCTGTTGGTTTTTTAACTAAGTTTCCGAGAAGGGAGGAAAAGTCTGAGTAGATTTTATGAGAGCTGAGTACTGAGATGCAAGGTCCGAGAATTTTTCTGTTGGATTGTTAACGAAGGTTCCGAGAGAGGGGGAGAGTTACAGGAACTGGGTATTGAGATGCACAGTTGTCCTGGGGTGATTTTACCTTTAAGATAGCTTCGGGAGCTGGGAGGAAGTTGAAGCTGGGAGAGGCTGATAAGAGTTTTTCCTCTGACCAATTATTGGTCATTTCTGAGAATTGGCGGTGGTTTTAACCATTGAGAAGTGAGATCAACTTGTGAACACCACCTTAAGATGTAAAGCCAGGGTTCTTTTGTTCTCTTTGGTTTCTGGCTTCTGACGAGGTCACAGGGCTCTGTCTCCGCCTCCTCCCCACCCCCCTCCAGGCTGGACAAGGCCACAGAGGGTGGGGAGGGGGGAAACGGAGCCGGCCTGGCTTGGTTTGCAGTTTCTGCTGCTGAACTGAAACCTGACACCATGAACATCTGCAGCTTTCCAAGACTTTAACTCTTTTACTACCTGGATGAGACGGACAGA